GAAAATTATTTACCCTGAAATATGGATACACAATATGGAATGCACAGGCACGGTTATGGGCGTCAAGAACATTGGGACTAGCAAGTCTCTTTCATTTATTTTCCCTCGCTCCTACTGCTGATTCGATAGCGTCACTACTCTTAAGACCACTTGTCCAACTGGCTGAATATGAATATGAATATTTTGATTGTCATCCATTTGATATTGTTTTTGTTTGTGTTCATTGCGTTTTTGTCTGAAAGTACATTATATTTCTAAGTCAAACGATTCAAGATCGTCGTTTTGGGTACGAAACATACAACGAACACTTTTTTTTTTTAATAAAAGAAANAAAATTATTTACCCTGAAATCTGGATACACAATATGGAATGCACAGGCACGGTTATGGGCGTCAAGAACATTGGGACTAGCAAGTCTCTTTCATTTATTTTCCCTCGCTCCTACTGCTGATTCGATAGCGTCACACTCTTAAGACCACTTGTCCAACTGGCTGAATAGAAATATGAATATTTTGATTGTCATCCATTTGATGTTGTTTTTGTTTGTGTTCATTGCGTTTTTGTCTGAAAGTACATTATATTTCTAAGTCAAACGATTCAAGATCGTCGTTTTGGGTACGAAACATACAATGAACACTTTTTTTTTTAATAAAAGAAAGTAAAATCAAATCAAATAACAGTTAAAAATAAAATAAACTAAGGTTAAACGTAAATAGTCCTCGGTAGTGACGCCAAAAACTTGTTGCATTTTTTAATATCGCAGTGTACGATATCGTAACAAGTACTATAGTGGACATTTGAGTCCGGATATCGTTCCTATGAAGACTAAACTTTAGGATTTAATCTAATTTTTCTAATTCCTATTTGACAAAAGCAAGTAAATAATTATGATGGTTATGATTATTTTTTCTAACTATTTTTAACTAATTGAAAATATAAAAAGATTGCTCACAATAGATAATTGAAGATTTAATTATGTAATGAATATTATGGTATAACAATTTTATTTATTGATCACCTTAATTCTTAATTCAATATTCATAAACTAATGTAATGTTCGGTCGAATTCTTTTATTATATTTAATTTACCCCTCTCGAATTTTCATTGAGCCTCTTTAACTAATTAAGTTTCATGTCTCTATGTAAATCAGCATTAACTAAACGAGACACTAATTCTAATAATTCATATTATGACCGCAGTAATTAGTATATGTATCTCTACACATTATACTCATTTACCGGATTTTACTATATGATCTAAATCTCAAACCCACCCATCAATTTGTAAAAAACTCACATAATCATCAAATTAGTGATCAAGTAATTTAATGCATTAAATTCATAGTAAAACCAACACATATAAGAATAAAT